TCAGATTATACCTAAATCACACCAAAGGAACTGTTATTTCCAATCGCCTGAATATCCGATTAGACTTTTAAGGAGTTTCCTTGTCACCGCTTCTGTTTTATTTATCCTTAATTTTCCTTTCGCTTGGATTAAACAGTAATAGCTATAGATTAAAAATAAACAATAATTTTATAATAATTTTAGGGATGCGGAACAAGAAGAAGCCTATAAATACCTAGGGGTCAGCGAAGGAATACAGCATACATAAATTAAATAGCAAGGAAGACAAATACTACAGGCGTGTACTTCTGGTGTTAAATACGGTGCTGAAATCACAAAACAGAATATCAACCATAAACAATTTTTCTGTGTCTGTGGTCTAATACAATTTCGACATCCTTAACTGGACCATGGCTGAAATAAAGAGAATGGGGATCAAAACGAAAACGCTTCTCACTTGACACTGCAGGCTGATGTTGATCGTCTGTATGTCTCCAAATCTTAAGGAGGCAGCGGATTAGTTCAACTAGAGCCCTCTTACAAAATCATAGCAATCAGTCTTCAACAATAACTGGAAGTTGCAAAAAACTGGATGATGATCTGTGTCAACGAACATGAAAGTAATAAGAAACTGTATTCAGGAATAAATGAGGCCTACAATTTTAAAATGGAATTTCAAGCGGGTAAAGAAGTTCAAACAAATCAGAATACGCCTACTGCAGTGACAAAAACCTAAAAATGAAAGCAAATGTAATGTCCCAAATGCAGAAACGATAGCAAGATAACCCTCTTTATGGTCAATACTCTGCCTGTACAAAACAAGTTGACACATCAGTGGCTATGTAGTAGAGGTTTAAAAGCTGACCCGGTTACGGAGATAGGACCTCTAACAATATTATGGGACTACACAATACACACAGACAGAAGAATCAAAGCTAACCGCCCAGACATCATGATTAGAGACCGCAAAGATAAAATATGCCTCCTTATTGACATGGTAGTCCCTGAAGATTGCAATGTATCTTTGAAGATCTTCAAAAAAACTATCAAAATACAAGGATCTTGAAATCGAAATCTCAAAAGAAAAATGTGACTTATGAAGACATTAACAATTCCAGTTGTAGTTGGATGCCTTGGATTGAATGGAAAAGATTCCAATAGGCTCATTAAAGAGTTCCCTGGTAGCCCATGCCTTAAAGAAATACAAAAATTGTACTCCCACTAATAGCCCACAACTTATGAAGGGCTTTATCTATGTAAAATATGTGCGATTTTCTTTTTCAAAACTGTTCAGTGGAAAATATCACGAAGCCATTTCTGACCTTAGGCCTCTGGTTGGGACCCGGAAAGTAATGAGTACACGCCAGAAACCAAAGCAAAAAAAAAACAACAACAACAATAATAATAATAATAATAATAATAATAATAAGGGAGATACCAAACATTGTTCTGACAAGTACAGCCCGCACTTTACGAAGGGCTTTATCTATGTATTTTTTTTTTGTCAGTGGAAAGTGTCATGATGCCATTTCTAACCTTAAGGAAATGTTTAAACGCCAGAAATCAAATGAAATAATAATAATAACTACGAGCATATCATTATCTTGCGGCCTCAGCTGAGATTGAACTCACTAATACTTTGATTGGTGTAGTTCATAATCTTGTCAAATAGCTGAATTCGTGATGCTTCGCTAGGGCTAACAAGGGTGTTTTTTTATCGTGACACCATCACTAAATGGATTGCCAACCAAGGCTCAGAGAGACTCCATTCACCCTCCTCTAAGAGCAGGTTTGAATTCAGAGTTTTCCTTCTCCAAGGCTATAGAACCCAGTCTGTCCTGCTATTTACCCATAGCTGGAGGGAGAAGAAAGAGGATTCCCACCTTTCCCAAGGGTGTTAGCACGTAAGTGAATGTAATGGATTCGACTGGAAAATTGAACTCGGCTCTCCGATTCCTCAATCCAAGCCGCTATCCATCACTCCACCGTGCCTCCTTTCACGAGCATATACAAGTATGATATATATTACCCGTGAATATAGGATAATAATAATAATAATAATAATAATGGTAGTAGTTATGAAAAAGGGAAATAAATATCTATCTTTATATCTGTCTGTTGCGTATGTGGATAGCTTTAGAATGTGGGCGATCATGGTTTTAAACAGTTTCCTGTCTTTGTGTTTTTTTTATTGCTCCCAGCCATACTTGCACTTTTACAACAAGTCATTGTCTTTGTGATACTTGTCCCTCTATTCATTTGTCAAGTAGATTACTCACTACTTTCCTGTGATTTTCTTGCCTTCGATACGGCCTCAGGCAAGTAACTTCTTCAAGACATATTTCCTCATTATATGTTCAAAAATCTTCTCTTTCGCTTTCTGAATGTTAGTGAGAGTTCCTTTGTAGTACCTCTTATATTTAGATATTTATGGTATGTATGTCAAAATAAAAACCGAACTTTGGTCGGTTCTAGAACACCCCCACACACACTTTATTCAAATATACATATAATAGGTCGAGAGAGAGAATAAGTTTCCTGATTCCAAATCGTCAAATAACTATGTAATAAAATCATGAAAAATCTGATCTGAATACAGTACATCATTATTATTATGTACTTCTTACTGCACTTAAAAGAAAGCCTTCAGCAAAATCTTCTCTGACTTTCACTGCCGCCTTTGCTTCTGATAATTCTTGTAGCAAAATGATCGATTTTCCTATACATTCCGGGCGATAACTACATACTCCTGTTATAACTCTATATCATAGGACGATATTATATCCCGATTAGTTTTTTCTTTCATCCGACGTGTAAATTTAGCGAAATAGCCTCTGTTACAGCAAAACGCTTTTGACGGTCTGGGTTAATTTTCTTCTTGTTTAAAAAGGTGATTCTGGAATAATATTATGAATCAGCTTGTTCCTTAGTTCTTTAGTCTGTTAGCATATAACTAATGCCCTATAATTCCCTCGGATAAGCAATGAACTATTTCATTTTTATTGACACGAAAAATGGAAGAAAAATATATATAAGAGATACTGATTGGTTTTAGTGGAAAAAGAAAGAATTTTAATTTTTTAATTTGTATTATTTTACTTCTTTAAATAACGACTTTATGATTGCTTTTTTTTTTTTTTTTTTTTTTTTTTTCATTTCACTCCAAGCAAGGCGGGAATGCCAATAGTACGCAGGGGGTACTATTGGCATTCCCGCCAATGATATTGAGAGAAAAGTTTGAGTACAGAGGTAGGGGCGAGGAAAAGAGAAGAGATGAACGGGGTTCAAGACGACAGAAGATGGTGATTGACGTTGCATTTATATTTCTGGAGATTATAGTTTTCAGAGAAGCAAGTAAACGAAAGGTAGATCCACTCTCAGGAAATGCGAAAAAATAAACTATTGGAGTAAAATTCACGGTTGCATTTAATTATTTCAGCAGTTGCCATGAAACTATTTGTAGAAAAGATAGAGAGAAGCCACATCACGTCTGTGGGAAAGTGACTGAAGTCGAGAAGCCAAATCATGATCGATTACACTGCAGATATTTCTTTGAATATTGTCAAGAACCTCAAGATGAATAGCAGAGACACAAGACAAGATATGGCAAAATAGTCAATGTATGGACGAATGGTAGATTTGTAAATGTGCAACATGGACTCTGACGAGAAAAACCTTCTGGTACAACACAACGGACCTTCCTTGCAATAGATGCAGCTATTGATTCAATGTAGTTGTTCCACTTCAAGACAGCTGAAAACGTGATGTCAAGAAGGGGCAGTGAGACACTCTCCAGAAATTGAGCATCAGCTATGCTGATAGCTGGCAGGGAAGTTTCTCGATGGTGGATGAATGAGAGCAATTTAGTTTGAAAGCATTAACATTTACAAGCCATTTCCTGCCCCAGTTAACCACTGATTGAAGGTCATTTTTAAGAGTCAGGTTAGCTTTGTTAGCTCTGACGGATTTGCTATTGAGACAGGAATAAATGGATATTATCATCTGCATAAATGCCTACTTGGAAACTGATGACATTAAGAAGATCATTGATGATGATCAAAAACATAGTAGGACCCAGGGTAGAGCTTAGGGGGATACCCTCGTTCGTGTGTAAGGATCTGGAAGGAAGCCCGTTCAAAACGACTTTCATTTCACTATTTGTTAGAAATGTTTGGATTAAATCAAACAATCGTCATGTAATACAAACCCTGAAGCTTACGTAGAAGACCAGCGAGCAAAACCCTGTCAAATGCCTATCTAGAGCTACAGATCGAGCTTCGCTGATATTATCAAGTGTTTGATATACATATTCAGTGATAACTGCAAGCACATCAGCTGTAGAACCGACAAAACGGAATCCATTTTTGTTCAAGTTGTTAAATTCAAATGTATAACTATTCAATACGGAAATCTCCGCGGGTATTTCATAATCGTAGAACTAGCAAGGATATTATCATTAAATTAAGAATAATAATTCATCAGTAAATTCAAATAGTAAACATACACTACTAGTAGACATGATTAGTTCAGGAGATTATTCTTATACAGTTTTGTAGTAGAGAGAGGAATATTTACTTAGATCCGATATCTTACTGTAATCATTTATAAATCATATAATTTTAGTATTTCGTATTTTTTTTAAGAAAGTGTGTCTTTAAAAGATACAAAAGTGATACATTTTACCAACTTGAAATCGCCCAAAACAAGACTCGAGTGTTTTCCATGGTAGAAGGTGATTGTTAAATGATAATGATTTTTCGTTTTTTACGGCTTATCAACCCGTTGCTGGTGATTTAAAGTCAAAATATATTTTTAGTTTGCAAGAATTTTATTGTAGATAATAATAGTTTAGGAATACAAGTCTTACTATTTGACCCATCGTTTGGAAGAGAAGAGGTGCATTTATACCTTTCTCATGGGTATTTTCTTGTAAGCGAATATAACGAACTCAAAGGAATTGGAACTCGGCTCTCCGATTAACAATTCCGAACCATTATCCATTCACCACCGGCTCATTCAAGCTTACAACACCTAGAACTCCCAAGTGGTCACTAATCTAGGTACTGACCAGATTTGATGTTGCTTAACTTCGGTGATAGCAAGTGAACCGGTGTTTCAATGTGTTATAGCTGTAAGTCTAAATGGTAATGTTCGATGCGGTATGTGATATGAATGAAAGAAGAGATTGGGTAACATGAATACCGAAAAGTACGATATTTTGAATGACTAGTTTACACTCTTTATGTGACAGTATATTAAGAAAATGGAGATTAGTTTAAGAGAAATCATATCTCCACTGAGGATTTCTACTGTTCGCATTTCATTCATTCACATTCAGTAGCATTCAATATGATATATTTTATACGTATACTTTTTACAAGATTGCATCACCAGGGATCGTGACAGAAATGAAAACAAAAAAGAAAAAAAGAAAAAAGTTCTGCAACATTCTAATAGATTATGAATCTGGTAATATGATTGCAAAAGTTCTGTCTATGTTGACAGCAATATCCAACATAATTATAACACTGCCGATAATAATGACCATATGCGGCAGATACTGAATTTAGTGCTGCGAAGATTCATGAAAGTATTCTGGGTAAATCGACCAGATAGTTATAATATATCAAAATCAGGGACCTGGAAAACTAATCAGTATAGCTCGGTTGACATGTTGTTGTATATTCGTAGATATTCATTAAAAGATTGCACGGGGAAAGCAGCATTTATATGAATCATATACAAGTCAAATGTCTAGTAAATTCAAACAGATTGTAGATTGCTTGACACCGTGTATCTACATGAGTATTCATTAAGCATCAGCACGTGGTAACATTCATGAAATGTAGGAGTGTAGTATGTTTGGCACCTAGCATCGACCTGAATATTCGATTAAACACCTGCACTCGGTTGTAAATTTCAAATAGAAGACTGTTGTATACTTGGCACCGAGCATATTTGATTAACTACCTGCAAACAGTAGAAATCTTCAAATAGAAGAGTATTGTAAGCACCAGCACTCAGTAGCAATGTTCAAATAAATGAGTGTAGTATGCTTGACAGCTAGCGTCTCTCTGAATATTCGATTAAGCACCAGCACTCAGTGGAAAAATTCAAATGGAACAGTATAGAATGCTTGGCACCTATCGTCTCTTTGAATATTCGATTAAGCACCAGTTTGGTCGGTAACAATCTTCAAATAGAAGAATGTAGTATGCTTGACATCTAGCATCTTCCTTAATATCCGATTAATCAACTGCATATGGTAAAAATCTTCTAATAGGAGAGTGTATGATTCTCGGCATGTAACATATATCTAAGTATTCAATTAAACACCAGCACACGCGAGCTATATTTAAATAGAAGAGTGTAGTATGCATAGCACCTAGCATCTAGATGAATATTCGATTAAACACCAGAACTCTGTAACAATCATCAAATAGAAGCGTGTAGCATTCTTTCGCTGTAAAAATCTTCAAATAAAAGCGTGTAGCATGCTTTCGCTGTAACAATCTTCAAATAGAAGCGTGTAGAATTCTTTCGCTGTAACAATGTTCAAATAAAAGCGTGTAGCATGCTTTCGCTGTAACAATCTTCAAATAGAAGCGTGTAGCATACTTTCGCCGTAACAATCTTCAAATAGGAGCGTGTAGCATGCTTTCGCTGTAACAATCTTCAAATAGAAGCGTATAGCATTCTTTCGCTGTAACAATCTTCAAATAGAAGCGTGTAGAATTCTTTCGCTGTAACAATCTTCAAATAGAAGCGTGTAGAATTCTTTCGCTGTAACAATCTTCAAATAAAAGTGTGTAACATGCTTTCGCTGTAACAATCTTCAAATAGAAGCGTGTAGCATTCTTTCGCTGTAACAATCTTCAAATAGAAGCGTGTAGCATTCTTTCGCTGTAACAATCTTCAAATAGAAGCGTATAGCATTCTTTCGCTGTAACAATCTTCAAATAGAAGCGTGTAGAATTCTTTCGCTGTAACAATCTTCAAATAAAAGCGTATAGCATGCTTTCGCTGTAACAATCTTCAAATAGAAGCGTGTAGCATTCTTTCGCTGTAACAATCTTCAAATAGAAGCGTATAGCATACTTTCGCTGTAACAATCTTCAAATAGAAGCGTATAGAATTCTTTCGCTGTAACAATCTTCAAATAGAAGCGTGTAGAATTCTTTCGCTGTAACAATCTTCAAATAAAAGCGTGTAGCATGCTTTCGCTGTAACAATCTTCAAATAGAAGCGTGTAGCATGCTTTCGCTGTAACAATCTTCAAATAGAAGCGTGTAGAATTCTTTCGCTGTAACAATCTTCAAATAAAAGCGTGTAACATGCTTTCGCTGTAACAATCTTCAAATAGAAGCGTATAGCATACTTTCGCTGTAACAATCTTCAAATAGAAGCGTATAGCATTCGTTCGCTGTAACAATCTTCAAATAGAAGCGTGTAGAATTCTTTCGCTGTAACAATCTTCAAATAAAAGCGTGTAGCATGCTTTCGCTGTAACAATCTTCAAATAGAAGCGTGTAGCATTCTTTCGCTGTAACAATCTTCAAATAGAAGCGTGTGTAACAGCATTCTTTTCTTTCAATCTTCAAATCTTTCACTGTAACAATCTTCAAATAAAAGCGTAGCAGCATAACAATCTTCACTGTAACAATCTTCAAATAAAAGCGTGTAGCATTCTTTCGCTGTAACAATCTTCAATCTTTCAAATATAAAAAGCGTGTAGCATTCTTTTCGCTGTAACAATCTTCAAATAGAAGCGTGTAGCATTCTTTCGCTGTAACAATCTTCAAATAGAAGCGTGTAGAATTCTTTCGCTGTAACAATCTTCAAATAAAAGCGTGTAGCATGCTTTCGCTGTAACAATCTTCAAATAGAAGCGTATAGCATCTTTTTTCGCGTGTAACAATCTTCGCTGTCAAATAGAAGCGTGTAGAATTCTTTTCGCTGTAACAATCTTCAAATAAAAGCGTGTAGCATGCTTTCGCTGTAACAATCTTCAAATAGAAGCGTGTAGCATTCTTTCGCTGTAACAATCTTCAAATAGAAGCGTGTAGCTTTCTTTCGCTGTAACAATCTTCATATAGAAGCGTAGAATGCTTTCGCTGTAACAATCTTCAAATAAAAGCGTGTAGCATTCTTTCGCTGTAACAATCTTCAAATAGTAACAATCTTCAAATAGAAGCGTGTAGCATTCTTTCGCTGTAACAATCTTCAAATAGAAGCGTGTAGCATTCTTTCGCTGTAACAATCTTCAAATAGAAGCGTGTAGCATTCTTTCACTGTAACAATCTTCAAATAAAAGCGTAGTAACAATCTTCAAATAGAAGCGTGTAGCATTCTTTCGCTGTAACAATCTTCAAATAAAAGCGTGTAGTAACAATCTTCAAATAGAAGCTTTCTTTCGCTGTAACAATCTTCAAATAGAAAAAGCTGTAACAATCTTCAAATAAGCGTGTAGCAGCTGTAACAATCTTCAAATAGAAGCGTGTTTCTTTTCGCTGTAACAATCTTCAAATAGAAGCGTGTAGCATTCTTTCGCTGTAACAATCTTCAAATAAAAGCGTGTAGCATTCTTTCGCTGTAACAATCTTCAAATAGTAATTCTTTCACTGCAACAATCTTCAAATAAAAGCGTGTAGAAGCTGTAACAATCTTCAAATAGAAGCGTATAGCATTCTTTCGCTGTAATCTTCAAATAAAAAATCTTTTCGCTGTAAAATCTTCAAATAGAAGCGTGTAGAATTCTTTCGCTGTAACAATCTTCAAATCAAAAAAAAATAACAATCTTCAAATAGACAGCAAGCAACTTTTTGTAAATCTTCAAATAGCTTTCGCTGTAACAATCTTCAAATAAAAGCGTGTAGCATTCTTTCGCTGTAACAATCTTCAAAGCAACAATCTTCGTGTAACAATCTTCAAATAAAAGCGTGTTCAAATAAAAGCGTGTAGAATTCTTTCGCTGTAACAATCTTCAAATAGAAGCGTGTAGAATTCTTTCGCTGTAACAATCTTCAAATAAAAGCGTGTAGAATTCTTTCGCTGTAATCTTCAATGCTTTCGCTGTAACAATCTTCAAATAAAAGTGTAGAATTCTTTCGCTGTAACAATCTTCAAATAGAAGCGTGTAGAAGCTGTAACAATCTTCAAATAGAAGCGTGTAGCATGCTTTCGCTGTAACAATCTTCAAATAGAAGCGTGTAGCATTCTTTCGCTGTAACAATCTTCAAATAAAAGCGTGTAGCATGCTTTCGCTGTAACAATCTTCAAATAGAAGCGTGTAGAATTCTTTCGCTGTAACAATCTTCAAATAGAAGCGTGTAGAATTCTTTCGCTGTAACAATCTTCAAATAAAAGCGTGTGAATTCTTTTCGCTGTAACAATCTTCAAATAAAAAGCGTGTAAAGCGCTGTAACAATCTTCAAATAGCGTAGAATTCTTTCGCTGTAACAATCTTCAAATAAAAGAATTCTTTCGCTGTAACAATCTTCAAATAAAGCGTATAGCATTCTTTCGCTGTAACAATCTTCAAATAGAAGCGTGTAGAATTCTTTCGCTGTAACAATCTTCAAATCTTCAAATAGAAGCGTGTAGAATTCTTTCGCTGTAACAATCTTCAAATAACAATCTTCAAATACTTTCGCTGTAACAATCTTCAAAAGCGTATAGTAACAATCTTCAAATAAAAGCGTGTAGAATTCTTTCGCTGTAACAATCTTCAAATAGAAGCGTGTAGAATTCTTTCGCTGTAAGCGTGTAGCATTCTTTCGCTGTAACAATCAAATAGAAGCGTGTAGCATTTTTCGCTGTAACAATCTTCAAATAGAAGCGTGTAGAATTCTTTCGCTGTAACAATCTTCAAAAAAAAGTAACAATCTTCAAATAGAAGCGTGTAGCATTCTTTCGCTGTAACAATCTTCAAATAAAAGCGTGTAGAATTCTTTCGCTGTAACAATCTTCAAATAAAAGCGTGCTGTAACAATCTTCAAATATTCTTTCTTTCGCTGTAACAATCTTCAAATAAGCGTGTAGCATTCTTTTCGCTGTAACAATCTTCAAATAGAATTCTTTCGCTGTAACAATCTTCAAATAAAAGCGTGTAGAATACTTTCGCTTTCGC